CACATATATATATATATTATGGTTTCAAAATGTTTGCAAAAGATTTTAATTCCCGGGATCCATGTGAGTAGAGAGTGCAGCACTGTACCTTGCAGCCGAGGAAGAGGTCCTTGATGGGAATAAAAAGTATCATATTTTTATCCCAAATATTCATTCTTTTACGTTAAATTAGCACTTAATTGGACTCATTACTCTTGTATTTCGATTCAAGGCAAGCAAGAAGGCGACAGGAGGAAAACAAGGCTAATCGAACGATTTTGCACAATTTCGGCACCATTCAGTATTCTGGGCATAACTCTCAAATCCGGACTCTGATTGGGATGATTCAAGATGCACCAGAAAGAAAAGGGATAATTCCACAACTTTCATGTTCTGGGTTTTGACAGATTCGGTCTACATTGAGGTCAAAATCGAGCCAAAAGTCAGAGTAAATTCGTAGTAAAGCCCAGTTCATAGCTGAAGCCCAATTCGCAGAAAAGCCTTGTAGCAGCCCAATTTTTTAGAGAAGCCCAACTCGAATTCAAGAAAAAAGAGTCTCATCAGATTTAAATTTTGAATGTAATCCCAAGAAAGATAAGAAGAGTCTCATTAGATTTAAAATTAAAATGTAATTCTAGAAGGATAAGAAGATTGAGATTACTAGATAAGAGATAGGATAGGATTAGATCAAAACTGATTAGGACTTTCTATTTTTGAGGATAATCTCCTAAAGGGAGTTGGAAAATAGCTCTCCTCCTAAAGCTATATAAAGGGGGGCGGACTAACTTCAGGAAGTCAATCAGTCCATCCATCTTGGAAGCAAAGTAAGAAGGAGTCAACAACCATGAGCGGCTGAGCTTTTATTTTCTGATTCAAGGGGAATTATTGATTCGATTATGTCATCGTGAGGTTATGTGTTTAATTTAATTTCTTGCTTTTAATTCAAGTATTCGTTTATTCTTGTGCATGTTCTTATGGAAGTTAATGTTGATTTGTCTGACAAATTAATTAATGTTGATCTTCCTACTGCTATTCATGATTCGATGATCCATAATTGTCACGAATAGTGGTACAAGTAGCAATTAGGTTAATATTTTTTTGGGTCAATTGTTCGTGACAGCCTTTGACCAATGAATTGGCATGTTTTAACCTAAAGGGAATCAATGGAACAAGATTTGATAATTGCAACTATGGAGGTTATTGCTATCATTACTTGATATGGAACGCTATCGTGCCCAGTCGGTCAATGATAAGTGTTGATCGAATGCTGGGTTTGGTCAACTAAATTAGGAAAACAAGAGGTTTATTATGACTATCCTAATAAATCCGAAGGTTAAATGCTTGAATTGCAAGACTACAGATTTTTTTCCTATGATCGATGACCAATTGACTCAATTCGAACCCTTGGATCAGAGTTGGTAAGACTGAACATTCCTTATTAATTGTTATTTGCGCTTCAATTATTTTAGAAATTTAATTATTCGAATTTCCCACTCTTTATATTGTGCATTCGGTTGAGAAATTAATTATGGCTCCCTCTGGGATTCGACCTGGTACCACTGTTACTACAAGTTTATAGTAAGGTGGGACTAGAATTAATTTTGAGGGCTTCGACAACCTGTTAGTCCTCTCTCGTCGGGCAGTGTATGATCATTATGGGCTGAAATGTTAAGTGTAAGACCATTGAGGGTAATACCTGATGGGCTAATCTTGCATCTGCCCATAGTTCTTAGCAGGCCCAACATTTACACTAAATGGTCCCTGGGTCCAACCACCTTATGAAGGTCCAAAGACTATGGACTTATGTGAGATTAGCCCATCAGGTAAAAACCTTAAATGGTCTTACATTTAACCTCTCAGCCCATAATGATCAAACACTGCCTGACAAGAGATGACCTCTCCCTCGATTGCAAGGTACAGTGTTGCACTCTCTACTCGCATGGATCCCGGGAATTAAAACATTTTTTGCAAACATTTTGTGAAATATCTCTATATAAATATATTTTGCAAAAAACAAATCTTAACAAGTTTGAAATCAAATGTCGGCAGTTTAGGTTTCCATCAGATAGAGTGCATTCCCCGATCATTCACTTTGTCCGACAAAGGGGCTGATTCTGTCATTATGATCACCCACTTAGGTCAATTCTCAAACTACCCCAACATACCCAGGTTTTGACCCCTGCTAAGGATCTCACTGATTGGCATATCAAAAATAGCCCAATCCAACACCTAGTGCAGTACCATAATCGAGTCTAGGGGTTAGGTGTAACTTTCCAGTTTTGCCCATCTGTCTCCAAGGTCCAAGACATAACTGGAAAATGGTCCGGTTCAGAGTTTCAATCAAACCCACACTACATGTGCCTCAGGTCTCACCCTGACAACTGAGACAATCTACCCCAACCTTCTTGGCAGCACATTAGTGTCAGCCTTGGCAGGATAAACCTCCCTAGGTTTATCCAACGGCTGTAAAGATTCTAAACTAACACTAGTTTCATAAGTGTCCAGTTTAAGGGTATTATACAGAAACACACCATAATAACATGAATCAATTATGTACTTTATTCATTTACAATAAATATCAATAAGTACATAAATCTGACTGGAGCTAAGAGCATAACTGTCTAACACGTTTCCCACAAACGACGCCAATTGACGATGCGCGATCTAGTGCTCCCTACTAACGAACAACCGAACATCAGACTGAGCAGGTTGCTTGGTCGAGCTGCAAGAGAGAGAGAGAGATCAGTGTACAAGTTGCTTTACTCGGGGTGGGCACTCTGATGCTTAAGTCAGTGAATTGGTAATGTGTTTGCAAGAATGCAAGAGAACTAGAGTGCTTGAGAGCTAAATCACACGTACCTTATGAGGTTGAAGGTGAGTCCCTTATATAGGCGGGCTGCAATGAGCCTCACGATACCCATCCGGGATCTCCGACTCGTCTAATTCGGAGGTGGTTTCATGCCTGGAGATGGATTCTGTGCAAGCAGGTAATGTTTATCCAATCCTGTCCAAAAGGGGTGGGGTGATAACCTGCTCTTCCAACGTGGCGTCATGATCTCGGGTAATTCGGAGTCGATTGACCACTTAAGGGGAAGGTCGCTAGGTGAAGGGATGAGAGATCCATCCTATGGATGCCCAAAGATTGCGGAATAAGGGGCGAATTTCAAAAATTTTATCTCTCCCTTCAACTGGGAATCGTATTCCCCTTTTAGAAAATCATATTTTCAATGATCAATCTTGAACCATAAACTGAACCAGATCTGAACCAAAAGGAGTGGGAGAGGATT